ACACTTTAACCCATTTAACTACATGTCAATGTGGTGTTTAGACGCAGTTTGGCAGTGACACATATATCCGTTTGGGTTGCTGGTTCAAAACTCACCATAGTGCTTAGTTTTGTGTTTGGAAACTCATAACATGTACTGTACTTTAAACCAGTATGACATTTGCAGTGTGATCTGAAATTTCCTGTATTTTTTTTTTTTATTAATATATTTATTTAATTGTATTGTAATTTTTTTTTTCTTTTATTGCAATTTTTTTTCTTTTTTAAATGTTTTATTTTTTATTTTTTCATTCATTCATGTATTTATTTACTTATGTATTGTATTTATTTGTATTTTATTTGTATTATTTTTTATTTATTGTATATTTTCCAATTTTTTTCTTTTTTTATATGGCTTATTATTTTTTATTAATTAATGTATTTATTTGTATTGAATTTATTTGTATTTATAATTAATTTCTGATTTGTGCTTTCTGTTTTTTCTTTTTTCATTTTTTTTTCATTTTTCTTTTATGTCTTATTTATGTTTTTTATTTTGTTATTTTTTAATTAATTAATGTATTTATGTGTATTATATTTATTTCAGATTTTTTAATTAATTTTTAAAATATGTTTATTTATATTTTAGTTTTATTTATTTTTATTTATTAATGTATATATTTATTTTTATTGTATTTATTTCAGTTTTATTTCATTTTTTTAAATTAATATTCATTTATTTAATTTTTTTTTTTTTTTTTTACATTTGTTATTAATGTATTTATTTATTTCTATTGTATTTATTTCTGATTTCTGTTTTGTTTTTCCTGCAGGCGGACGAAAACCCTTTATCAGAACAGAGCGTCACACAGGTACAGAACTCACCTCAGTTACACACATTTACCACCAGGTGTCAGTACTAGTTTCCCATAACAATTTAGAGTTTTCATTTCATTCTTGACCACTTTTTAATCTTCTTTTACTCAACACTGAACTCCTGAACTCAAGCAAGCGTTACTCACACGCACTATGATATAAGCCGATTTTTATTCATAATAAACCGCAGTATTTATCTGAAACGACTTGATAACACAAACGGTGCATTGACTTCCTGTTCCAAACTCCAGATCTGATAAGCTGCACCTTTCACAGCAGCACACAGACAAAGACGCTTTTTATATTCACAGCTTTAATTCTGATACAAGTTGCGCAAGTCTTGGGTTTTTTGTTGTTTTTTTTGTTTGTTTGTTTTTTTGAACTCTCCTGCTGCTTCCTCTTTGTTTCTAAAGCGTTTGAGTGTCCAAAAAAGCACTATAAAAGTCAATAATTTAATAAAGTCAAGTCATTTTTTGCCCTCATAAAACTCAGTTCATACAGAGGGGTGGGTGGAGATAGGTGGTAGGTGAAAACTGAACATTTCTAAGAGCTCAAGCCTCAAATGCAGGATAATACAGCGTTACTCGAACGTGCATGAGGGCTCAGTCCATCCAGTCCTCATCTGAGATCTCAGATTTGGCTGAAAAAATGTCAAAAAAATTTCTAAAATTACCAAATGAAAGATAACTTCATAGAAAATTTGTATTATTGTAGATTTTAGAACCTTTCTTCAGGTGGAGAAGTCTCTAAGCTTCACCAAAAATTACCCGTGAGCTCATTTTCAAAAATTCCATTTAATATGAAGGAAGTTAAAAGTAGATGTTTTGATTCCTTTAAACTCATCAGAATATGCCAAAGTTTCTCTGGTAAAAATTTGATCAACATCTAACTGTGCCCACATGGGGAACCGAGGCTCCAAAGAAGGGGCCAAAAAGATCATATTTGGTCTGTGACTCTACACCGTCCACATGAAAACTCAGAAAAGTGTCAGATTGTTGTCAGAAATGATCATTCTCTCAAATATTCACCATAGTAAATATCTGCTTGGAGTAAATAGATCTTGGACCTCAAAAATTGGAAAAAAAAAAAAAGAGCGGCAACCAAATGTGAGATTTTGGGGGCCAACAGTGCCAAACTTAATAAAGATACACAATATTTGACAACAGATTTAGAATCTATGACCAAGAATCTACAAAAATACAAATTTTCAGCTTCCTCGCTCTATTTTTGATGAAGTTCTGGTCTCTCAAACATGTTTACAAATTAAAGCTTCAAAAACAGTGAGCATGACCCCAAAATTTCAACGGGCCGTAACTCAGGAACGACTCAAGGGATTGAGCTAAAATTTGAGATTCTTTCATTTGGTGATTTTAGAAATTTTTATATTTTTTTTCAGCCAAATCTGAGCTGGCTCATAGGGGAGATTCCTTGAAAACGGCTGATTTCATACGGACTGACCATTAATCAAATTACAACGTTAAGTGCGCCAATAATGAGAGTACAACAGCACGACCAAAAACTCATGAAAGGGCATTTTATCTGAGATTCATACTCAAATTTAAAAAAAAAAAAAAAGGAAAAAATATCAAGTAAACATTTTCCAACCGTAAAAAAACTTCAAATCTGCTGCTTTTACGACGAAACGCGACTATGAAGAGACGAGACTCAAAGAATGTTTCCATTTCGAAGCCGTTTCAGATCAATTTTGTGTTTTTTTTCCGTGAATAAAATGTAAAATAACGACCTTTGCGTGTTCTAGTTTCATTGTAAACACCTCAGAAATAGTGTTTATTAGTGGAAAGAAACTCGTTTATGCGACACATTTGACATTTTCACTGTTTTTGGCGATTAAAAAGGGCGTTTTTTTCATACTAACGTCATGTAAAGTGTAGAAGAAATTTCCGTTTTCACCTATCCCCTATCTCCGCCCACTTTTATTTGAGATCCACACTTAAATGAAAGTCCAAAAATATCACGTAAACATTTTCCAACCATAAAAAAACATCAAATCTGCTTCTTTTTACGACGAAACGCGACTATGAAGAGACGAGCTTTATTATTATTTCTGCGATTTGGAACAGGAAGTCATTTTAAAGCCGTTTTTAGATCAATATTGTGTTTTTTCGGTGAATAAAATGTAAAATAACGGCCTTTGCGTGTTCTAGTTTCATTCTAAACACCTCAGAAACAGAATAATACGTCTCCTTTAACGTGTTTATGAGTCTGAATTCCCACAGCCTGATGTATGGGAAGAGAGAAACTCGCCCTTTCGCGTTTCTCGTTCTTGCTGTTAACGCTCTGCCTGTTTCGACGTGTTCACCGCTCAAAGCGCCCGCGCGCCGTCGGAGTGGTTATGGCGCATAGTTTGAATGCTAATTTATGGCTTATGGTAAAACATAACGTTCGCGGGGCAGTTTGGAGACGCGGGAGGGAGCGGAAAAAAACGGCGTCAGACTCGTTTTAGGACGGGAAAATTGCGACGTTTCTGGTAAACACGCGGACGGCTTTTGGATTTATGCTTTTAAAATCGGAATTCGGTTCAGTGTAAATTTGAAACCTGTCAAAAAGAGTTCGTATAAAAAGAGTTTGAGACGAGACTGAACTCTGAAATTGCTGGAATAATAAAATAATCCCGTGTACGTGTTTGTACTCTGCAAAAAAGCTGCAAAACGTAAGATATAAACACTTAAATCTGTCCGAAAATTACTTAAAAATAGTCAAATTATCTGTCCACGCGAGATCATTTTACATTTTAACGACCTCTAGACTTAAAAAAATGAGAACTTTGCAGGTCAGTTCCTTGGAGAAGAAGGAGCAGCCCGAGAACTTAGAGGAAAATCCCGCACAACGTCTTAATATGCAAATTGTGAGATTTATTAGAACAAAACCGTGCAGCGTTTCGGCGCTAGATTTTCATCAGACGAGAATTAAAACAGACTCAGAACTAGAAAGTAGAAAATAAATCTGAAAACAAGTTAAATAACCCGATATAAGTTTGAAAATGTTTGTTCAGATTCAGAGAAATTTGCAGTGAACCGCAAAAAAATCCAGGTCTACACCAGGTCTGAACTGAGACTAAATAACAGGACTAAACCAGGTCTAAAACTGTGTCTTAAACTGTGACTAAACCAGGACTAAACCCAGACTAAAATAGGACTAATCCAGGTCTAAACCAGGACTGAATCAGGACTAAAACTAGACTTAAAACAGAACTAAACCAGGACTGAACCGGGCCTAAACCAGGACTAAAAGAGGACTGAATCAGGACTGAACCAGGACTACACCTGATCTAAATTAGGACTAAACCAGGACTAAACCCAGACTAAAATAGGACTAATCCAGGTCTAAACCAGGACTGAATCAGGACAAAAACAGAACTATTCCAGGACTGAACTGGGACTAAAACAGGACTAAACCAGGTCTTAAACCAGGTCTTAAACCAGGTCTGAAACCAGGTCTAAAACAAGACTAAACAGAGATTAATCCAGGACTGAATCAGGACTGAAACTGATCTAAACCCGGACTAAACCCAGACTAAAATAGGACTAAACCAGGACTGAACCAGGTCTAAAAGGGGCTTAACCCAGGACTGAACCGGGCCTAAACCAGGACTAAAAGAGGACTGAATCAGGACTGAACCAGGACTACACCTGATCTAAATTAGGACTAAACCAGGACTAAACCCAGACTAAAATAGGACTAAACCAGGTCTAAACCAGGTCTAAAACTAGACTAAAACTAGACTAAAAGAGGACTGAATCAGGACTAAATCAGGTCTAAATCAGGTCTAAATCAGGTCTAAATCAGGTCTAAACCAGGTCTAAACCAGGTCTAAACCAGGTCTAAACTAGGACTAAACTAGGACTAAACTAGGACTAAACTAGGACTAAACCAGGACTAAAACAGAACTAAAACAGAGCTAAAATAGATCTAATCCAGGACTAAACCAGGACTAAACTTGGACTTGAGAGAGAGAGAACTGTTTTAGTCCTGGTTCAGTCCTGGTTGAGTCCATAAGGGTCAAAAATGGATGAAATGGGAAACAAATCATTATCTGTTTTTTTTTTTTTTTCATTTTGGTTTTGGAGACAAATAATTTCCTATTTTTGGTTTTATTTTGAAAAACAAACAGACTGATCTCAAACACTCCCAAAATGACACTAACTCAATTTTTTTTTAACTCATTTTCTTACGCCGTTACACTTTAGTACATGTTTTGGATCAATACTTCACACACTTGCATGATTACTCGTACTTCTACTTGATCATCTCATTTCAAAGTAAAATGTTTAATCTTCTGTCTGCTCTTTTAAACCTGTTTTTTAGTCTCGTCTGTGTTACTTTTTCGCCTTTTTGCTCGCCTTTTAAACTGAGACTAAAACGGGACTAAACCAGGACTAAACTGAGACTAAAACGGGACTAAACCAGGACTAAACCAGGACTAAACCAGGACTAAACCATGACTAACCAGGACTAATCCAGGTCTAAACCAGGTCTAAACCAGGACTGAATCAGGACAAAAACAGAACTATTCCAGGACTGAACTGGGACTAAAACAGGACTAAACCAGGTCTTAAATCGTGTCTTAAACCAGGTCTAAAACAAGACTAAACCAAGATTAATCCAGGACTGAATCAGGACTGAACCAGGTCTAAAAACGGGCTTAACCCAGGACTGAACCGGGCCTAAATCAGGACTAAAAGAGGACTAAACCAGGACTAAAACTAGACTAAAAGAGGACTGAATCAGGACTAAACCAGGACTAAACCAGGACTAAATCAGGTCTAAACCAGGACTAAACCAGGACTAAACCAGGTCTAAACTAGGACTAAACCAGGACTAAACCAGGTCTAAACTAGGACTAAACCAGGACTAAACCAGGACTAAAACAGAACTAAAAAACAGAGCTAAAATAGAACTTATCCAGGTCTAAACCAGGACTAAACTTGGACTTGAGAGAGAGAGAACTGTTTTAGTCCTGGTTCAGTCCTGGTTGAGTCCATAAGGGTCAAAAATGGATGAAATGGGAAACAAATCATTATCTGTTTTTTTTTTTTTTTTCATTTTGGTTTTGGAGACAAATAATTTCCTATTTTTGGTTTTATTTTGAAAAACAAACAGACTGATCTCAAACACTCCCAAAATGACACGAACTCAATTTTTTAAAACTCATTTTCTTACGCCGTTACACTTTAGTACATGTTTTGGATCAATACTTCACACACTTGCATGATTACTCGTACTTCTACTTGATCATCTCATTTCAAAGTAAAATGTTTAATCTTCTGTCTGCTCTTTTAAACCTGTTTTTTAGTCTCGTCTGTGTTACTTTTTCGCCTTTTCGCTCGCCTTTTAACATGACTAACCTTTTACCGCTCCTGTCTAACCCGCAGCACATAACAGAGAAGCTGGCCCTCACCTCCAACGTAAGTGTCTGGCGATACTCCGCTCATAACGCGGGCTCTGGCGCCATCTGCTGACCGCTTTAGGAACTGCAGCTTTTTTTTTTTTTTTTTTTTTTTTTCCAGGCTGAACCAGGACTGAACCAGGACTGAACCAGGACTGAACCAGGACTGAACCAGATGAATCAGGACTGAACCAGGACTGAACCAACTGAACCAGGACTGAACAGGACTGAACAGGATGATCAGACCAGGACTAACCAGGACTGAACCAGACTGAACCAGGACTAAACCAGGACTAAACCAGGACTAAACCAGGACTGAACCAGGACTGAACCAGGACTGAACCGTTTTCAGTCCTCGTCTGGTCCCAGTCTCAGTCCTAGTCCTGTTCCGGTCTCAAGTCCTGGTCTCAGTCCTGGTCTGGTCCCTGGACCTGGTTTAGTCCTGGTTTAGTCCTGGTTTAGACCTGGTTTAGTCCTGGTTTAGTCCTGGTTCAGTCCTGGTTCAGTCCTGGTTTAGTCCTGGTTTAGTCCGTATGCGGCGCATTAGTCCCTCATCACATTCTAAAGTCACGTAAACGCCATTTCCCATTTCCGTGACTTAAACCAGGACTAAACCAGGATTAAACTGTTTTCAGTCCTGGTCTGGTCCCGGTCTCAATCCTGGTCTTAGTTCTGGTTTGGTTCTGGACCTGATTTAGTCTTGATTCAGTCACTGCGCACTTTCTGCCCAAATAAAGTCAGTACCTGGATTTAACTTGATAAAATAGCGTTGGAATCCAGGTGGTGAGTTTATTTGTCGCTTTCTAACTTTTTACAGATGTTATAAACGTCATTTGATATCAGGATATTTCGGTTATTGTTACGTCCTTATATTAATTCACATTTCCGAAACATGTTAAATTAACTCTAGAACAGTTTGGACTCGTATAAACCCCGAGAAAATGTTAAAATTGATTCTGTGAGAGTCAGTTTTAACACTCTACGTTTTGCTGTGAGTGTTTTGGGTCACATTTGTAGCCTGAAAATATTTCTGTAAAAAAAAAAACACCTGAAGGAGAAGAATCCGTGTATCATTCGTTCATTCGACTGAATCAGGTCCGGAACCAAACCAGAACTAAGATCAGGATTGAGACCGGGACCAGACCAGGACTGAAAACGGTTTAATCCTGGTTTAGTCTTGGTTTAAATCATGGAAATGGGAAATGGTGTTTCCGTGACTTTAAAATGCGATGCGGGACTAATGCGCCGCATACGGACTGAACCAGGACTAAACCAGGACTAAACCAGGACTAAACCAGGACTAAACCAGGACTGAACCAGGACTGAACCAGGACTAAACCGGGACAGGACTGAACCGGGACTGAACCGGGACTGAACCGGGACTGGACTGAACCGGGACTGAATCGGGACTGAATCAGGACTAAACCGGGACTGAACCGGGACGGGACTAGAACTAGGACTGAACCAGGACTGAATCAGGACTGAACCAGGACTGAACCAGGAATGAATCAGGACTGAACCAGGACTGAACTGTTTTCAGTCCTGGTCCTGTTCCCGGTCTCTATCCTGGTGTCAGTCTCGGTCTGGTCCTGGACCTCGTTTAGTCCTGGTTGGTTCAGTCCTGGTTCAGTCCGGAGGCGCAAATAATGAAGAAAATTGTTGTTTGTTTTCTTATTTTTGGTTTCATATTGAAAAACAAGGTTCTTCTTCTGCCGCATTTTCCACTTTGACTTTGATTTTATTACGACTTCATTCTCGTAATATTATAACTTTATTCTTATAATATTACGACTTTATTTTAACTTCGACTTCATTCTCTTAATATTATGACTTTAATGTCGAAATGTTACGACTTTATCCTCGTAGCGCCAGCATGTTCTTTTTTATTTTTTTAAATCTAACCCTTACGCTCCGTCGTAGTTAACAAAAAAACGCAAATAAAATGTATGGCAAACCACGTCAGGTTCTATTAGGTTCTTTTGTCAGACCAAGCGTTTGTTTTCGTACACGACCTTTTCGACTGTTCACTAGCGGTGCCACAATATTTAGTTATTTCGTTTATTATTACATCCCTAAAATTTGAGGTTATTTCAACAAGAATCGCCAAAGTTATTGACCTGTGAAATGTCAAATGTTTTGGGACACCTTGTATAAAGTCTTAAAAGTTTGCATTTTTACGTATAATTTATGTTGACACAATATTTTTACGTCAAATTCAACATGTTTATATAATTTGACATTGTATTATATTTTATTCAAAGCCTTTAACGTCTTTTACTGATGTGATTTGATTTTATTTAAACGATACACTCACTCACACGTGTTAAACATTGCTCAAGTATGACCCCTGCTGGATAAATTTTGCCACTGCACTTTTACGTTTTTGTTGCGAAGTTTGATAGTTTCTACGACGGAGCATAAGGGTCAGATAAAAAAAAAAAAAAAGATGCTGGCGCTACGAGGATAAAGTCGTAACATTTTGACATTAAAGTCGTAATATTATGAGAATAAAGTTATAATTTTACGAGAATGAAGTCGTGAAAAAATCAGAGTCAAAGTGAAAAATGCGGCAGAAGAAGAACCTTGTTTTTCAATATAAAACCAAAAATAAGAAAAACAACAATTTTCTTCATTATTTTATCTCCGGACTGAACCAGGACTGAACCAGGACTAAACCAGGACTTAACCAGACTAAACCAGGACTGAACCAGGACTGAACCAGGACTGAACCAGACTGAACCAGACTGAACCAGGACTGAACAGGACTGAAAGGACTAAACCAGGACTAAACCAGGACTGAACCAAGACTGAACCAGGACTAAACCAGGACTGAACCAGGACTGAACCAGGACTGAACCAGGACTGAGGCAGGACTGAAGCAGGACTAAACCAGACTAAACCAGGACTAAACCAGGACTGAACCAGGACTAAACCAGGACTAAACCAGGACTAAACCAGGACTGAACCAGGACTGAACCAGGACTGAACCAGGACTAAACCAGGACTAAACGAGGTCCGGGACCAGACCGGGACTGAGACCAGGATTGAGACCGAGAACAGGACTAGGACTGAGACTGGGACCAGACGAGGACTGAAAAGGATTTAGTCCTGGTTCAGTCCTGGTTCATCCTGGTTCAGTCCTGGTTCAGTCCTGGTTCAGTCCTGTTCAGTCCCGGTTCAGTCCCGGTTCAGTCCCGGTTCAATCCCGTTTAGGTCCTGGTCAGTCCCGGTTTAGTCCTGGTTTAGTCCTGGTTTAGTCCTGGTCCTTCAGTCCTGGTTTAGTCCTGTTTAGTCCTGTTTAGTCCTGTTCAGTCCTGGTTCAGTCCTGGTTAGTCCTGGTTTAGTCCTGGTTTAGTCCTGGTTTAGTCCTGTTCAGTCCTGGTTCAGTCCTGGTTCAGTCCTGGTTTAGTCCTGGTTCAGTCCTGGTTCAGTCCTGTTTAGTCCTGATCAGTCCGCATTAGTCCCGCATCACATTCTAAAGTCACGTAAACGCCATTTCCCATTTCCGTGACTTAAACCAGGACTAAACCAGGATTAAACTGTTTTCAGTCCTGGTCTGGTCCCGGTCTCAATCCTGGTCTTAGTTCTGGTTTGGTTCCGGACCTGATTTAGTCCTGATTCAGTCCTTGTTCAGTCGAATGAACGAATGATACACGGATTCTTCTCCTTTACGAAATGCTCCAAATTCTCTATTCTCCACTCAGACTTTCAGAACCGCCGATATTCTCCTAATATTACGACTTTATTTTGACTACGACTTTATTCTCATAAAATTACGACTTTATTCTCATAACTTTAATAAAATTACGACTTTATTCTCATAAAATTACGACTTTGTTCTTGTAAATTTATGACTTTATTCTCATAAAATTACGACTTTATTCCTGTAAAATTACGACTTTATTTTCGTTACATTGCGACTTTTTCTGGCTTCGACTTTATTCTCATAATATTACGACTTTAATGTCAAAATATTACGACTTTATTCTCGTAGCGCCAGCATTTTATTTTTTTATCTGACCCTTATACTCCGTCGTAATCGTGAACAAATCAATTTCAGTTTTTTTGTGTTAAATATTAATTTTTATTTGTATTTTTCCAGGTTTTGCAGTCGGCCAAGGAGCAGATCAAGTGGTCCATCCTGAAATGATTTTTTGCCACGTTTTCTTACAAGTGTTTTTGTTTTGTTTTTGTTTTGTTTTGTTTTGTATCTCAAATGAAGAAGTCTTGTTACATAATTAATAATAGTAATAATAATTTTCTGTAGATGTATTTATTTATGTGGTCGATAAGGGATTTTTTTGTGTTTGAAGAATCTTTGTTACGATTTGCTAAAGCTGCATTTTACAATTTTTCCGGATTTTTTTGTCCCAAACCTGAAGAGTGCACTGACATAGTTCGCAAAAAAAACATAATTTATTTTGTGTAAATTGTGAGAATTAGTTACAGTGTTGGGGAGTAACAGATTACATGTACCAGAGTTACGTAATCAGAGTACAAATTATGAGTAACTGTATTCGGATTACAGTTACTTTGTTGAAGTAAATGGATTACACGGCGGGATTTTCCTGTTTTCACATTTTGGGCTATTCTCTCTTTTTTTGTTTTTTGTTTGGTAATTCCACTCATTGCTGGAAACTAAACCAGGACTAAACCAGGTCTAAACCAGGTCTAAACCAGGTCTAAACCAGGTCTAAACCAGGACTAAACCAGGACTAAACCAGGACTAAAACCAGGACTAAACCAGGACTAAACCAGGACTAAACCAGGACTAAAGCCAGGTAAAAACCCAGGTCTAAGCCTGGTCTAAAACCAGGTCTAAACCCAGGTCTAAACCAGGTCTAAAACCAGGTCTAAACCCAGGTCTAAACCAGGTCTAAAACTAGGTCTAAAACTAGGTCTAAAACCAGGTCTAAAACCAGGACTAAAGCAGGACTAAAGCAGGATTTATGCAGGACTAAAATCAGGTCCAAACCAGGACTAAACCAGGACTAAACCAGGATTTATGCAGGACTAAAGCAGGACTAAAACCAGGTCCAAACCAGGACTGAACCAGGACTAAACCAGGACTAAACCAGGATTTAACAGGACTAAACCAGGACTAAACCAGGATTTAACAGGACTAAACCAGGACTAAACCAGGATTTAACAGGACTAAATCCTGCCGCACGGACCATGTTTCCTCTTCTTCTATCAATAATATTTTTAATTTGGTTCAATAAAGACTCATCTTTTTATTTTCTTTTATCAGACAAAACTTCTTATGTGAAGATTTCCTCGTCTTTGTTTCTCTACAGCAAATCAAGTAATCCAAAGTACTCAGATTACATTACTCCCTTTAATTAATTTAATGGATTACGTTACAAACTACATTTTGGGGGATGTAATCTGTAATCTGTAGGGGATTACATTTTAAAAGTAAACTTCCCAACACTGTTTACAGAATGTAGCATAAATATGTTTATAAAAGTAGAAATGAGAGTTTTTGAATGTGACGAGAGCAGATTTTGCACTGTTTGTTAGTTTGGAGTTTAGCTTTATTCAGGCTACGATTTGAAGCCGGTTCGACGTGTTTCTGAACATTTTCTACAAACGCCAAAGATTAATATTTTGTTTACATTTTGCTGAAATTCTAATCTGGACTTTTAATGCCTATTTTTGTCTAAATATGTCTGAAATAAAGTGATATTTACACACGTTTCTCGCTTTATTTTAATGTTTTCCTCAACTCGGCCTCTCATTGGCTGTTTGGTTTCCGGTCCGACCAATCGCAGGCGAATCTCGGCTCATGAATATTAATGAGCGCGTGGAGCGAAGCGTGACGGTGATTGGTGTAGTTTAGGTGTACGTCAGCGCGCACGTGGGCCCGCAGCCTCGGCCAATCGTTCGTTCTGATCGTAGTTTTCGTTGATGTGATTGGTTATCGTCACAGGGCGCGTGCGAGGCCCAAGAGCCACGTGGGTATGTATAATTTTAGATTTTTAGCGAAAACTAAAAAAATTTAAAAAATAAATAAATAAAAATCGTACCGTAATTATAGCCTACATAAAAATAAATATATAATAATAAAGATTTTTTATTTATTTAAGAAAAAAAAAAAAAAACTTCAATACGTTTTATAAAAGGCCCATTCTTTAGGCCTATAGTTTTGGCCTACACGTAATTTTGAATGTTTTGGAAATATGAAACCTAAAATATAAAATTTTAAGCAAATTACATCAAAAAGCAAAACTATTTTCATTAGACTCGTCATTATTTAGCTATTTATGTATTTGACATTGTTTTGAATTAACTCAGTTATTAACATAAATGTTAAAAGTGCACGTGTTTTTTTGTTATGAAGAACGGTACGAGTAATTTTATATTTTTTTTTTCCACAATATAATGGGATGGTTTCTCTATCTTTTATTTTATTTTATTTATTTATTTATTTTACAGGTGTTTTATTGCAAACGGTAAATACTTGGTTTGGTGCGGGCATCTTCTCGTCTCCGTGGAGATAATAACAGTTTAGATCCTGTACCAAAAAAAAACTACGTAGTGCACTTCAGTACGACATTACAGCACGGTAGGCCTCAGAAGAGTCGGCTCCAACATCCTGCAGAGCGTTAGGCCCGTAGTTGTTACACGGAACACCGCCCTCTGCTGGCACGAGATGGGAATTACAACTAAAGTAGCTCCCTCTGTCTGTTTGGCTCCACGGAGACGTTCTTGTTTGCTTGCGAAGTTTCACAGTATGGCATTAAACTGTCTCCATGGAAACAAGCAAAACATCACGAGTCAAGTTATTTTTATCGGTTTATTTAAAGGTTGTGTAGAGGATTTTTTTAAGGAAAGTGAAATACAGCAACCGTCCTTTTTCCAAATGTTGTGCATGTGTGACACCACCTTCCTCCTCCAAAAATCACACTTGTTTACATCCAGTGCGTGTTCAGAATTACTGTTGAAGTGACCCGTCTAGAAATATTTTAGCGACCGACGAAGGACTGACACCGGGACCAGAACAACCCCTTCGTCTGCTTCGGTCGCACAATCGCCGGAAGGAATCTCCGATCTCACCTCAGTTTGTCTTCGCTCCTTTTCCCCTTCGCTTCTTCTTTCAGCGACCTCAAAAACCGACTTTCTTTTGCGGCGAACCGGTCGTGGATTCTCGTCGTCGGCCGTCGCAACAAACTTTGTGCGAAATGTGAGGAAGCGACAGTTTAAAAAAGCCTCTAAGAACCGCCGCATAAACCACGTAATCCCTGCGCGCGCCGACGACTCAGTTACACTAGAAACGTAGGGAGTTTGATTGACAACCTAACAGCCAATAGAAAATGAGGGAGCTTTGTTTTCTATTGGCTGATGTTTCTCTGGCCTCAACACGTCCACAGTTGATGGATTTTCATTCTTTTTTTTTTTTTGGTCATCATAATTCCAAGGCTGCTGCGTCTCTGTTATGGTATTTTAAACTTTCAATGACAATTTGAACCAAAAAAAAAAAAAAATCCTCCATACAACCTTGAACAGGGATTTACAAAAGGCATCTGACACATGGACACACGAGGATGGGAGGGCATCTGACACACGCTGAAAACATGACAGGTTGTAGATTTAGGTTCATTTCTGTCAGTTGTCTCACTTTTGCTCTTACAAACCAACATTCACACACCAGTGCACATGGACACTGGAGTCCAGGTGGGTGAAATGTCTTGCCCAAAGACACAACAGCAGCAGTTTACACGAGATCAGGGGTGTCAAACTCATTTTGGTCCAGGGGCCGTATCCAACCGACTTTGATCCCAAAGGGGCCGGATCAGAAAACTCATGTCATATAAACCCCAAAAATAACAATAAGTTCAAATATTTGTGCAGAGAAACACAAATCTATTACAGAAATATTTTTTAATTGATGAAGTCTTTCTTTTACAAAATATTATAATATTAAGAACAACCTGAAACTTTAAGAAAAATACAATTTCAACACAAAGTTTTAACATTAACTTTTATGTAAACAGGAATAAGTCCATTTTTGTTGTAAAATCCTGCACTCGGCTCCACTTTTCTCATGTTGGACATTTTTCTATGAGGGTGTCACGGTCAACAGTCAAAACGATCGTCCTTTAAGAGCGTTTGGAAAGAGACAAGTCTTCATTTGTGCTGCTCTGGTGGGAGGGGCCACGTACAGAGACGCTGGAGACGCTGCTGTGATAAACACAGAAAATTAACAAGATTTTAATAGAAATTATCATTCAAATATTTTAGTAGAAAAGCCGAGGGCCAGATTAAAGGTCTTGGAGGGCCGGATCTGGCCCCCGGGCCGCATGTTTGACACCTGTGCACTAGAGCCTCTGTGGCACCAGGTTTTCCCAGTGTCTCTCATCCAGGTCCAGTCCTGCTGAGCTTCTCAGATCTGATGAGATCCGGTCACAGGTCAGATCTGGTGAGAGGCGAGTCCGCTCATGTTTTCTGAAGACCAGCAGGTGGTAGAAAAGTTACACAAAACAACTTGTATGTTTGTATTTTTTACACTATATATTTTTTTATACTATATATTTTTTTTATGTATTGGTTTTTGGAAATTGTACTATTTATATCTTGTATTATATCCAGTGTTGGGAAGGTGACTTTTAAAATGTAATCCCCTACAGATTACAGATTACATACACCAAAATGTAGTTTGTAACAGAATCCATTAAATTACTTAAAGTGAGTAATGTAATCTGAATACTTTGGATTACTTGATATTGTCATGTTTTTTTAAAACTACATGAATGTAACAAACACATCCTGAAACTGTTGAGCCCAAGTCTCCATGAACAGACTTTTGTTTAATGTAGAGAAGCAAAGACGAGGATCTTAACAGAAATTTCGTTTTATCTGCTAAAAGAAAATAAAAAGCCCAGATTTTCCTTAAGAAGATTAAAAATATTATTGATAGACAAATTATTTTTATATGAGACACTTCTGCATTAAATTATGTCCACCTACTGTTAGTGTCATGTTGTTTAGACCTGGTTTAGTCCTAGTTTAGTCCTAGTTTTAATCCTGGTTTAGTTCTGGTTTAGTCCTGCTTTTAGTCCTGGTTTAGTTCTGGTTTAGTCCTGTTTTTAGACCTGGTTTAGTCCTAGTTTTAATCCTGGTTTAGTCCTGGTTTTAGACCTGGTTTAGTCCTGGTTTAGACCTGGTTTAGACCTGGTTTAGTCCTGGTTTAGACCTGGTTTAGACCTGGTTTAGTCCTGGTTTTAGACCTGGTTTAGACCTGGTTTAGTCCTGCTTTTAGACCTGGTTTAGACCTGGTTTAGACCTGGATTTTGTCCTGGTTTAGCCCAAAATGTGAAAACAGGAAAATCCCGCCGTGTAATCCATTTATTTCAACAAAGTAACTGTAATCCAATTACCACTCACTGAAACAGTAACTGTAACTGAGTACAGTTACTCATCATTTGTACTCTGATTACTTAACTCCAGTACATGTAATCTGTTACTCCCCGACACTGATTATATCTTATCTTAAATCACTTGTAACTCAGATCCGTTGAGCCTACATGTCCCATCATGCACCAGGGGCTGTGAACATGTGACCTTCATCTGTGAGTTGAAATGTGCCACTGGGATCAACAGCTTCACTTTGTCCTGATGAAAACAAAAAGACTGAAACACGTTGTTGTGATTTTACCTTTTTCTGCCCTGTGGCTTTAAACGCTTTTAATTATTTTGTACTTTTTTGAGCCTCAGTTTTTTCAGCTCCAAACATCAGGAGTGTGTCGCCCTCTGCTGGTCACTGTCCGTCATGAGAAAAGTCAAAATCCACAAATGTTTCTCATGATTTTTTCCACCAACGAGGTCCGTTCTCTCTAGTTAAATTAAAATGAATTAAATTAAGAACATTTGACTTTATTTGAGTCGATTGAACTTGACAAATAAAATTATCTACCAGTGGAATAAATGATTTTTTTTTTCTTTTCTTAATTCAAGCAGTGTTACATTTTATTTCTTAGTTAAAGAGCAAAAAGTTGTTGTTTTTCTTATTTTAAGTGCAGCAAGATGTATTTTCATATTTTAACTACAATAAGTTTAAGTTTAAGTGGCAGATTATTTTATTTGTCAAGTGAAATTTACTCAAATGATGATAAATTTTTCTTAATTCAAGTCATTTTAAGTTGGCTGGATTTTGTTTTTGTTTTTTGTTTATTTTTTGCAGTGCAGACACATCACCATATTTAGTCCTAGTTTAGTCCACATTTAGTCCTGGTTTAGACCTTTTTTAGTCCACATTTAGTCTTGGTTTAGTCCTGGTTTAGTCTTTGGTTAGACCACATTTAGTCCTGGTTTAGTGATGTTTTAGTCCTGGTTTAGACCTGGTTTATTCCTGGTTTAGACCTGGTTTATTCCTGGTTTAGTCCTGGTTTAGTCCTGGTTTAGACCAGGTTTAGTCCTGGTTTAGACCAGATTTAGTCCTGGTTTAGTCCTGGTTTAGACCAGGTTTAGTCCTGGTTTAGTCTGGTTTAGTCCTGGTTTAGACCTGGTTTAGACCTGGTTTAGTCCTGGTTTAGACCTGGTTTAGTCCTGGTTTAGTCCTGGTTTAGTCCTGGTTTAGACCAGGTTTAGTCCTGGTTTAGACCAGATTTAGTCCTGGTTTAGTCCTGGTTTAGACCAGGTTTAGTCCTGGTTTAGTCCTGGTTTAGTCCTGGTTTAGTCCTGGTTTAGTCCTGGT